AGTACTAGATTGGGAGTTAGGTCTCAACATCTTACTTTTGAAATTGCCAAATGTAATTGAATTCATGGACCAAATACTTTAATCAATTTGGTTCATTTTACCACTTCAGTAAGTATCTGATCCCCCCCTTGCTATGCTCTATCTTTAGAAGAGGCAGATCAGACCAAAACTGCAGTATTGCTTTCATATCACTTCACTTGATAACGAGGCCTTAAGATGCTAACTTGCAATTTCCATGACTATAAAATACCTGTGGAAATTCACAGATGAAGGGAAAACTGGAAATTTTTTGAATGTGTCATGAGGAAGGATTGCCTGGAGAATTTGATACTCACAGGTTATATCAAAGGAAAAAGGGACAAGAAAAAGTAGGAGGCCATCTAGCTGACAAGCTTGGGTGAATGGAGTTGGGTGAGGCTTAGCAGAGGGAGAAATATTGCTAAAGGCTACAAGGGAGGTGAGGTGGTTGAATAATAATAATAATAATAATAATAATAATAATGTGGCACATGGCAACATCAACAATCCCTGTTGTAGTTTGAGCTCTCGAATTGGTTGGAAAAGATTCCAGTAGACTAATTGAAGGGATCCCTGAAAGCCCATGCCTTAAAGAAATACAAAAAATTTTTCTCATGAGTACAGCCCACATCTTATGAAGGGTTTTGTCTATGTAATCTTTTTTTTTCAAATGGAAAATGTCATGATGCCATTTCTAACCTTAGGTTCCTGGGTGGGAACTGGAAAGAAATGAGTACACATCAGAAATCAAAGGAAATAAAATAATAATAATAATTATTTTTATTTTTTTTATAAATTGGTAAATGATAAATATTTCATTACATTAACTCTTAGAATGTTGTAAATAAACAATCTAATAAATAAATACGGTTTAATATTTTTGTTGTAAATTTTCAAGAACAAAAAAATGTATGAATTCACTTTCATCATATGTTTAGGTTTTATTATCATTCTAAACATTGCTGAGGAGTGAAGGTAATTAAAATAATAATAGTGGTACCAAGGGACACTCACATTTTTTGCAGGCACAAAGGTCCAAGATTGCCATTTAATTATCTGGGAAGTGTTTTAACAGATGTCAGAAAATGTGATACTGAAATCTGAAGGTACTTTGGAATAACGAAAGATGTCTTTGGAAAACTAAGCAGGATACAGGAAAATTTTTGTTAGCAACAAAGTCATAGATAAAAATTATGCATTTTGTACTGCGTAAAATTTCTTATTTACATTTGGACTAATGTCCTCATCTTTGTTGTCATGACCCTTTTGTACCACAGCCTTCTTCATTTGAATTACGATGAAGAGGAGATGAAGTGGGATGAAAATTATTTCTTAAAAAACTAAGCAGTTAGAAGGGGAAAAATTTTGTACCATTTTCTTTCACTATTATTATCAAACTGATCGCATTGGTAGCATGACATTAACCCATTAACAACGAACGTTCCCACAAAAAGGGGATGATTGCCTATGATGGGTTATAGGTAGAAACCTATGATTAATAACAGATTCTTTATAAACCTATAATTAATCATGAATTTTCTTTTTCTTTTCTGAAATCTATAATTAACACTGAATTTTTATTTTTATTTTTGCAATACTAGACTTTACAGCGGTCATGAGGCACTGACACATGCCTGGTTTGTTTTTTATACTAATTTCAAAGTAGGTACCATTATCCATTTGAAGTGCAAACTTCTTATGTGCTCTATTCCAGTTTGCCTTGTGCCAAATTTAGTTAAGCTTAGAAAAATGTCATCAGGTGATGAAGTTTATATGATCAGTTTGATGCATTTTAGTCAAATGCAGAAATAAATTAATATTTAGTATTAATTTTTAAAATCCAGTATTAAATTTAAAAAATTAAAATTAAAAACTTGTATTAATTTTTTAAAAAAGTAAAAATCCAGTATTAAATTAAAAAAAAATATAAATAAAATATGGTATTAATTAGAAAGATAAAAATAAAAATCCTGTATTAATTATAGGTTTGTAAAACAAAAACCCAGTCTAGATTAAATGTTTGTAAAACCAAAACCCAGTATTGATTATAGGTTTGTAAAGAAAAATCCAGTAATAATTATAGGTTAGTAAAAACATAAATATCTAGTATTAATTATAGGTGTATAAAAAAATCCAGTATTGAATATAGGTGTGTTTAAAAAAATCCAGTATTAATTATAGGTTTGTAAAAAATATCCAGTATTGATTATAGTTTGTAAAAGAAATCTAGTGCAGTATTCATTATAGGTTTGTAAAACACATCATGTGTCAATTAGACGTTTGTAAAAAAATATCAAGTATTGATTATAGGTGTGTAAAATAAATCCAGTATTAATTATAGTTGTGTAAAAAAATCCAGCATTAATTATAGGTGTGTAAAAAAAAATCCTATATTAATTATAGGTGTGTAAAAAGAAAATATTAATTATAGATGTGTAAAAAAAATCCAGTATTAATTATAGGTGTGTATAAAAAAATCCAGCATTAATTATTGGTGTGTAAAAAAAGTATCCACTATTGATTATAGATTTGTAAAAAAAAAATCCAGTATCAATTAGAGGTTTTTAAAAAAAAATATCAAGTATTGATTATAGGTGTGTAAAAAAAAAATCCAGTATTAATTATAGGTGTGTAAAAAAAATATCCAGTATTGATTATAGGTTTGTAAAAATAAAATCCAGTATTATAGGTTTCAACTTTTAGCCCCAAAAAGGGATGTTGGCATTTCTTTACCTAGAAATAGTTCTTGATATGATTTTAGATTTAGAAAAAAACTTTAAAAACGGTTTTTGAATTAAGATGAAAAAGAAAAAACATCCTCTCTCACACACACACACATGCACACACACACAAACACAAACACACAATAAATTTAAAAAAAAAAAAAAAAAAAAAGCAGAAGAAGCAGGAAGGAGAGGAGGAATTTTGTACCATTTTTCCTCACTATTATTATCAGACCGGCCAATTTGGTGGCATGACATTAGCATAAAACCATTGGCTTCTCAGACACTTATTTTTTTTAAATGTTTTTTTTTCACTCCCTCTTTTTAGCATCCTTTTAAAAAGCTCCACTCTTTCACTCTTTCTCTCTCTGACAATCATCTCCCCTTCAGTCTGTAGGTTTCCTCTTTCCTCTGAACCAATCTTTATCTCTCTTCACCATCTCTCTCTCTCTCTCTCTCTCTCTCTCTCACAGTCTTGCTGTCTTTATCCTTGTTTTTGTCCCAAATGACTCTGACCCAGCAGTGTCTCTGTTCAAAGCTACATCTTCCACCGAAGGCAGCAGCAGAACCCATACAGCCAAAAAAGCCTGTATGTATTTGGAACCTCAACAGGACAGCATCAACTGTCCTGTTGCTTATAGGGAAGAAAGGGAGGATGAACAACATCTGAATCAGCAGCAGCAGCAGCAGCAGCCAGAAGTGGGAGGAAGGTGTTGGAAGAGGAGAGCAAGAAGAAAGAAGAAGAAAAAAAAGAGAACTCACTCACTCGTAGTTGGAATACACCAGTTTTATAGAAGAAGCATTTGCTCGAAAAGTCGAAAAGGATTTAGCAGTTGGATGAGTGTGTGTGTGTGTATGGATGAGTATTAGTAAAAGTTGCTCTAGGATGCTGAAGCCGGCTACACTAGAAAGAGCGAGGGATGCGGCGCTGTTTATAAGAAAGATGGTATATTGCGAAAGGAGAAGTGATGATATATGGAAGATGTCTTAAGCTTAATCTTCGTTGTTGTTTGTTTTCCTTTCTGTAAAAAAAAAAAAGAAGAAAAATGAAAGGGAAAAAGAGAACTAATTTACTTTATATGTAAATTTGGAAGCTTATTTCTTTTTAACTGCCAAAACAAAAACAAAAAAAAAGAAGATTAATTTTACTTACCTGAGTTCTATAAATAACCCTGATAATTATATAAAATATATATACATATGTATATATATTTATATATAAAATGAAAACATTCAGTTAATAGTGAGTTTAAAAGTTTTTAATTTTCAAGTGCATCATTTTTTTTTTATATAAATTTCTCTTTATTTTCTAAGGAGAAATTCTTCCATTTTAGATATCACTTTGAACTTAATTTGAGTAAACTTTTATTGGTATCCAATATTTTAGCAAGAATGACAAATCTCAAGTGTAATTTAAACTAATAAGTTTTGTCTACAACTGAAAGATTTCTAAGATTTATATCTGCTATTTTAACTCAGTCTGAGACCGCAAAAACTGGACACTGATCCAACAATGGATATACTTATATATGACAAAAAAAAACATAAGCAGTAAGTGAACCAAAACTTAGTCTTGCACAACTAATACCTACTTTCTGCCATCTCACAAGTAATGAAACTACTACTAAAAACCCCAATTCTACAAACCAGAGGATAAAGAATTCCGTTAAAAAAAAAGAAACAAACAAAGAAAGCCGTGGAAAATTTGAGGTAAGTACCGAATATCTTTCTGTCTGACAAATCAACCTGAGTAACTTGGTCTGTGGAATTAAACTGTTCTTAGCAGAGACATTTTTTTTTTCTGTTGTAAGTTTTACTTTGATTTCCTGTATTTTCTCCTCGGCTTTGCTGATGCTATCTGTTAACAGGCAAACACATGTGGAGTCTGAGAATTCAGCCACTGTGTTTACATCTAGTAACAGAATTTCACCAGCTCTGGTTCCTCGGTACTAACCAGCTTAGTTTCAAAGAAGCATGTGCCTACAGCTTCTTGCAGAAAGAAAATTGATTTCTTCTGATTATTCATGATAGGTAACTTCTCATTAGGATGTGCATGTAGTGTGATGTATAACATTTCGGAATGAGAAATCGGAGAGCTGCGTTCGAATTCCATTCAAGTTTGTTATATTCACTTACACGCAAATACCCTTGGGAAAGGTATGCATGCATCTATTCTCCCCCCAGCTATAGGTTAAATAGCAGAACAAACTAGGTCCTATATTGTTGGTTAGCAACCAATCTACCACAGAGCTTACAGGAATACCATGCTGAAACATCGGTTCCCATACAATCAACAAAGTTAAGCAATGTTGAGCCTAGTTAGTACCTAGATGGGTGGCCACTTGGGAATAATTGGATGCTGAGATGGAAGCTTATGGCCATATCACATTGAAACACTTTATGTTAAGCAACGTTGAACATGGTCAGTACCTAGATGGGTGACTACTTGAGAATTCCAGGTGCTGTAAGTTTGGATGTGTGGGAGTGTAATAGACTTGGAATGGAAAATTGGTGAGCCGAATTCCAATTCCAGTCAGGTTCATTATATTCACTCAAATGTAAATACTCTTGATAAAGGTATGAATCAACCTCTTCTCCCCCCAGCTATGGGTTAATTAGTAGGATTTGGATCAGTAAATTTTTATAGCCCCCCAAATTCTTATGATGTTTTCTGACTTTGAATAAATGGCAAAAGGTTGATAAACCATAAAAAACAAGTCAATCAAATCATATCAGTTTCTGCAGAAAGCAATGACAGCCTTCTGTGGCAATTCTTTTGGCAAGTCAATTATGAATTGAAAAGAGACATTATTGCCCAAGCATGGCACCTAAGGAAGGAATTTTTTGTTCTGCTAGTCTTTTAATGTCACCGCCACTCATACATCTCATTAAATGAAAATGGTGGCAAAAGAATGGTACTTTCTTTGAAAGGTAAATTGAATTAAGATGATAGATTAAAAAACAAAAAGGCTTATGGCCATATCACATTGAAACATTGGTTCCCTGCCCAGTACCAAGATGGGTGATTGCTTGGGAATATCAGGTGCTTTAAGCTTGGATGTGTCTGTGGTGTAATGGATAATGGTTCAGAACTGATAATTGAAGAGCTGAGTTTCAATTCCCGTTGGGTTTGTTATATTCACTTAGGGGCTAACACCCTTGGGGATTATAGGAATCCACTTCTCCCCCTCCCATCCAGCTGTATCACTAAATCATTATTATCTCCCCATTTCAAAATCTTACAATTTAAATATATCTTCTGGCTTTAAATAACCTGCAATACTTTGATGAACCATAGAAAACGAAAAAAAAATTCTTTATATGTAGTCATTATTTTCTCTGGACTCCTCGTTGTTGACAGATTTTAACACACGGTGACTTTTGTTGGGTCAATTAATGTTGAATGTTTTCATGGGGCACCCAGTGAGGATCAAACTCACTAGTAATGGTCAACCAAACTATCATCGCTAACCCATGATAAGATGATGTTGGTTGGTTGGTTTTAAATATTTTCTGGCTTTGAAATAACTTGCAAAATGATGGCAACAGAATTCCTGTTGCTTTTGTTTTTACAGTATTCACTAAATATTTGAAAACACCCTCTCACTGTGCTGTAAATAGATGATAAGCTAACGCAAAGTTATGTTTTTTTGTTTCTTCCTATCCTCATTATTAATAAGAATCAGGGACCATGGACAATTGAATTCATATTTATTCTTTTCCTAGACTGCTTACCAATGTCTAATCTCCTCTGCTATTTAACCCATAGCTAGGGGAGAAGAGCTGGATTCATGCCTTTCCCAAGAGTATTTTTTCGAAGCACGTTAGAGTAATGGATAGCAGCTTGGATTGAGGAATCGGAGAGCCGAGTTCGAATTCCAGTCGAACCCATTACATCCTAATACCCTTGGGAAAGGTATGAATCCTCTTCTTCCCCCAGCTATGGGTAAATAGCGGAACAGACCAGGTTCTATAGCTTTGGGATGGCAACTTGTCTACCGCAGAAAGAAATGGCAACCTACTGCAGGAAAAAAATCTGCCTTGTCAGTCATGTATCGAAAGATACATGATCAACTAAGCGTGTATCATGTATGGCACATAACTGACTGACATGCTAATACCCTTGGGAAAGGTACGAATCCACCTCTTCACCTCTTCATCAGACATGGGTCAATTAATAATATTTTTATCATTAAACTATTATCTCCCCCTAAGAAATCTTTTTATAATCTAAAAATATTTTCTGGCTTTAAATAACCTGCAAAGAATTGATAAGCCATAGAAAATGCAGTAATAATCAATAAAAGACAAAAAACAACCAAAAATAAAATGATTTACAGTATTCACTAAATATTTGAAAACACATCCTCACTTTGCTGTAAGTAAATGATAAGCTAACCTAAAGTTATATTTTTTTTTTTTGTTTCTTCCTATCCACACTCTTAATGAGAGTCAGGGACTATGGACAATTGGTAGAGTTTTGAATTTATATTTTTCCTTCTCCTAGACTGGTTGCCAACAAGTCCAATCACCTCTGATATTTAACCCAAAGCTGGGGGAGAAGAAATAGATTCATACCTTTCCCATTATATAACATTATACAACCTGCACATCCTAAAAATCTTAAAAATAAATATTCCTTGAACTGAATTTTAACATTCATTTATCTTTCCCAAATATCAAGGGCATTAACACAGTGGCTTTCAATCTGATACAAGAAATAAACTAGGCAAGCCAAGCTCATGGCACAAGTCTCTAACTACAGTTCCTTGGGTATATGCAAGACACTGTAGGTAGTGGCTTAAAATACTAACTTAAGCTTCTTAAAACTAGGCAGGTGAACAGGAGGAATGATCGGTTGTACTGCGCCAGACCCCACTAAGCTATTAGTGCACACCAACTTCATATCAATACTTTTGCTATATATCTAGAGATTCTTGATAAAATCCAAGGGTTCTGTAATGTTATTGGTCCTGACCTGGCATCTCAACTTCAGTCACTTTCCCAACACTCTGATATGGCTTCCCTCTGACTTTCCTATAAATATTTTCATGGCAATTGTTCTAATGGGCTCCCCTCCTTGGTACCTCAACCGCATGAATTTAGACATGGTACGTCTCTTCATTTTAATGTTGAACTAGCTACATATAAGTGTAACTTCCAGATAAGTGCGATAAAAGAAACATCCTGGGTACAACAATAAACTACATCCGGCAGTGAGGCCTCTGATCAGGAGGTTTTGAGAAGTGTCGAACCACCTCTCAATTAATGTTTTTCCCAGGTCCTGCCTGACCCAAGGTGATAGCACCTGTTAGGGTCCCAGCTATGGACAAATAGATAACCCCTAAACTAGGTCAAAACACTATGAAAGTGTAAAAATAGGTTTTTATAGTAAAAGTACCAGCAACACATTTATGAAAAAAAATTATTACTAGCAATACATTTTTAAAAAAAGAATTATTACCAGCAATGAGATTTTGAAAAAAAAAATTATTACCAGCAAAGTGATTTTGAAAATAAAAAATTATTACCAGCAAAGTGATTTTGAAAATAAAAAATTATTACCAGCAATACGTTTTTGAAAAAAAAAAAAATTATTACCAGCAATGCGATTTTGAAAAAAAAAAAATTATTACCAGCAAAGTGATTTTGAAAATAAAAAATTATTACCAGCAATACGTTTTTGAAAAAAAAAAAAAATTATTACCAGCAATGCAATTTTGAAAAAAAAAATTATTATCAGCAATACATTTTTGAAAAAAAAGAAAAATAATACATTTATGAAAAAAGAAAAAAATTATTATCAGCAATACATTTTTGAAAAAAAACAAACTATTACCCACAATATATTTAAAAAAAAAAATATTACCAGTAATTAATTTTTGAAAAAAAAAAATTATTACCAACAATATATTTTTTTAAAAATATATTGGTAATAATTTTTTTTTTAATAAATTGGATTCTTTGGATTTTTTTAATAAAAAAATAATACCAGCAATATATTTTTGAAAAAACAAATTTTTACCAGCAACACATTTTTTTTTTAAAAAAATTTTGAGAAAAAAATATTATCAGCAATCTTAACAAAAATACGTCAATGAAACCTGATCTACAAACTGATTTCTTACAAAAAATACATATTCTATTCATAGGAAGCAATCTTAAAAACCTTAAATAACCCATTGAGGTTGGTATGTCATAAAACAAAATAAACCAAACCAATCTTGCTATCTTGTCACCTACAATCTTCAAAAATTTAAATGTAACATCAATTACTATCTTCTCTCTTCCTGAAACCTGTTCTTTTAATGTCTAATATTTTCTCATTTTCTTTCACTGTCAGTAACCCCTGCACCTCAGCTTCATTATCACCTTGCTTGTGGAGAGACGATTAAAAAAATTGTCATTTGTGCTATAAACCATTAGGGCCATATTATGCCAACCTTACTTCTTTCTGTAGGGCCTCTGGATCAATTCTACCATATATTCTGTCATCAAGTACAATGGTCAAGCTCAACAGGACCCCACTCTTTGCCATGTAGCCATGGGAGTGGCTGATCAAGAATTTTCAACATCATGTCTCCCACTCCCAATATTTGACCTGTGAGATTTGAACACCCTGGGCCACTATGTCTAGTGTGTCATTAAAAGGGGAGCAACGAAAAGTCTCACAATAGCAAGCTACTGCTGTTGCACACATGATAGCTAACATGAAAGAGAACCACATGATCCAAGTATGCAGTTGCTTCTGGAGTTGCATCTTTTTTTGTTTTTTCGAAGTTGAACATGTGCAAAAAAATCTCCTTTGGTAAAATATGATTTTTTTTTTCTATTGGATATCTTTGTTTTCCCCTTATATTATAATTTGTTCTCAATTACCTGGCATGCACTATATACATATATTCATGCATACTTATATGATGGCAATGTTTCCTGTCTACATATGATGAAGTCACTTCTACATTATACAGGCTGCGATGGATAAATTGTCGTCTAAATTACACAAAAATGAAAATAACACTGACACGTCATTTTAACAGATGTATTTACCAAAATTACACAAAAATATCTTGAAATATGAAAGAGTAAATTCATTCAATAGAATCACCATTGGCTTCAACCACAGCCTTCAGACAACTTTGGAATCTCCTGCAATTCTTCTGGACAGCCTCCTTGTTTAAGTTGGAAATTGTCTGACAGCCATGACTAGGTATTTTTGCTTGTGTGGCATGGTGCAGAGTCCTGTTGCCAGACATAGAATCTTCCAGCAGCTATCCTCTTTACCCAGGCAGCACTACATCCTCCAGGCACTTGATGTAGGCCTCCATGTTGAGTTTAAGGCCCTGTGGGAAGATGAATGGA